AGCTGGATCAGGATCATGAAATCTGAATTTAGACTTCCGAAGCAATAAGATGCATTACTCGTGTGGTTTTATTTGATTTGTACTTAATCAAGAATCTAGACCTACCGGCCATACAGACGGCAATACTGAACTAGTACTTCTGGGATGTACTGCGACACAAATGGAGCAAACTGATCGAGAACTCGTTGAGTACACGTCAACGCACAAATCTCAAGGAAATTTCAATTTCCTATGTGGATGAGAAAAACTGCAGTAAGTTGGAACTAACAAGAATTGATGAACTGCCAAGTCTTTTTCCACTGAGAGAGTGTTGACGAACGCGACGACGTTTACTAGCTGCATCTTCCTGTTGATTGCAAGAGTCGAGTGATTTCTAGAATAGACAAGTAAACAGAATGCTAAGAGAGAAAAAGTATTTCCCACTAAAACCCCAATTATGAAAAGTTAGATTCACAAAGGAGATATGCAATAAATGGATCACATATCGATAAGCTGCAATGATCGTAGGTAGTAATTGTTTCTGTTGCAACATCTGTCCTACTTTAACCATTCTTATTCACAAACAATGATTAAAACATCCCAAGAATTCCTGAATGCTTACTAAAGAACTTTTTGTCACATCTTCTATCTAACTTGATATGATACAACTGAAAATGCATTAAACAAATTGACACGCTTTTATGTAACGCATAAGCATACACTATTCTGAAGTACTTATGTCACCAAATTTGACTTCGAATGTGATGACAGCTTATATGTGACATTCCGATAATATAGTAAATTGAATTGTTTTGGTGGGAGTTCAAAAAGGCTTATGATATTTTAACCCATCGACGGCATATTATTCTTGTGTCTGGCATATGGGACAAACTTCATTGACTTTCATTGACTACTGCTTGTACTAGTTGACACCTACTCAAAAACATTAAAAAGCTATGAAAGTTTGAAGTGTAGCAAATATGTGATCAGAAAACTGTCACACGGTCCCACGCATCCCAAATGCGTGACCATGGGTCATGCGGTAGTCAATGAGTTCAATGTAGTAGTACCTTTTGGCTCAAGTAACATTCGTTAATGATGTCAAGACAGGTTTTCAGCAATGGGATTGCAGATATCATAGTCGTCTTCATATTATGAGATCTAAAGTTGAGAGATATTGTAAAGCTAAAAATTAAAAAAAAAACAAAAGGAAAATTTCATATCTAATCAGTTCCCCAGCAAGAAGCAACACATTTCCAACCATAGAGTCATCCAGTGTTTGATAGTCCGCCACCTGAACGTAAGAATAGCAAAAGACATCAAGCAAGAAATTCTCTGATGAGTACAAGATCTGTGCAATTGCTCATTGCCTCGGCAAGGACTGAAGAATCCGTGCGACACGGAAGGCGTTTTGCGATTAGCTTCATTGTAAAAGCAGCATTTTGACATAGCTTGATCTGAAGAACAAACAGCCGCTTTCTGTGAAGTGGTTAAACTGCGAGGTCACAAATCAGCAATCATAACAAAAACTCACTTTGTCCATGTCCAATCTTTCTTTTATAAGCCATTTATTCAAAACAATTGCCATTTTCTCGAGATGCTCCTCGTTAATGCCGCTTTCCGTGAAAAAGAAACCATCATGAACCAACTTTAAGTTAGCAAGTTGAAGAGCCTAAACGTTTCATAAGAAAAAGTAAACCATTAAAATGTAAAAAAAGCAAGATGCTTACTTTCTCTCGCATTCTTGTATCAGTACTGTCATCTTCTAAAGTATCAACTATGATTCTTGCTGCCACTCCACCTGGCATCAAATGACGAAGCTAAACTAAAGTAACATACAACACGAAGATAAGCAACTCGAGTGAAATATAAGGAAAGCATAAAAAGAGTCGAACATCTTGGATCATCTTACCTTATCCGCTACTGCCTCTGCTCGAGATGAAAGAGCAACCCAGTACCGAACAGTTTGTGGCTCATTTCCCTGCTCGGCTGCCAAATTCTCTTTCTCAACGAACTCTGCCAACTCAATGGAAACTGCCATCAAGCGTTTGCCAGTAAGTATCATTGACTGATAAAGGTGGGCGTCGTCCAGTATGCTTAGCTGCAAAGTTTACTTGAGTATATTTGCACAGAATCACAGCACCGTCGACCTTGAAGTACCAGTCAATTACAAATTAGAGATAGACAAGCTTTTAAAAGAATAATCCGAAAACCACGAAAGATACACCTTATCATACAGCTTCCTAGACGTGAGTACCTTGGCCACAAGACCGATTGCAACAAAACGAAAATGACGGAGCTTTGGTAAGGAATATTTTGATCTGCAAAATTCAAAGTAATTTCAGCACAAAAACATTGTGTATGAGAACCTATCAAAAATCGCTTGATCCACCACGTTCGTCATTAACTCGGAAGAGTAATCGCTCCCTAATCTCAGAATGAACTGCACAAGATCGACTGCCGCAGAAATCTACAAAAATTCTAAATTTAAAATTTAGCTGATTAAAACTTCAGCTCACACATCCAAAGAAGTTACCTGGGAAACTGGATCAAGACCAGTGAAAAGCTCAAGGGCAAAGTCCTCAAAAGCATCTTGCTCAGTAGAACGCTTGTTTACATCACCAGCAGAACGTTGCCATTTCACACAAAAACTGAAAGAATGACTAAGTTCGTTTTTCTATACAAATAGCTGACATAAGCAAAAAACGTTACTATAGGTGGCAAAAAAAA